GCCTCCTGCACATAAGGTCTGAGGAGACTTAACAGAGTTCCAGATGCTCCCCTCTTTCTCTGACATCTCAGATAGCTCAGCAGGTTCTGCTAACTGGACAGAGTTTCTGTTATCCGTGGCTTATGACTATCACCATGCATCAAGTCACATTGTAGTCAGATAGTCGTTGTGTATCATTACCTGCGTTTACATGATGGTGTTGTAAGACCTGACTGCCTTTATCTGGAAGTCATCAGTCACTTGGGTTAGCATATAGTCATGCTTGCCTGCCAGCCACTTACCTCCCAGAAATCTCACCATCTTAATTACTTAAATACTTTAGCCTTGTGAGATACAAGGGGGGGACTGACGTGTATTTAAAGCATTTGTTTCAGGATTTAGGGTGCCCTGATTCTTTATTTGAAAAAGACAAATTTCTCCGTTCCTGAGTTGGTCTGTACTCTTTTGCTAGAAGTTACCTATACATGCATGTGGAGGGTCACTTGAGGCTAAATGAAATCTCATTACCAGTAATGAGAAGGTGGTTCAGGGTCTTTATCTTCCAGTATGCACTGTCCAAAAGTATATTCATATCACACAGTCCTTCCTTTTGAGAGAAAGAAATCTTCAGCTCTGAACCCTGATGTTAGTGTGTGGCTGGGAGGAGCTCAGGTCTGGCAAGGGCTCTGCCTTCTTTTGCACCACATGTGAGAGATGTACAATGAAGGGAGAGCAGGGGTGTAGGCCCTGTTGGTACTACTAAGGTTGGGAGATCTGCTGTCTGAGTAACTGGACAGATGCCAGTCCACAGTGTGAAGGTACAGACAATTTGCTTTAATATCTGGTTAGTCATAACTAACTTGTCCATGTTACCTGTATAGTATTCCTGTAGTCCCATTATCTTCCCCCAAACCAAAAGTCATACTATATTATGTAACATTAATGGGTAGGATACACATAATTGAAAGGTAATTAAAAACTTGTTTAAGGTATTTTGATATTTAGTAACATTGATGTCTTGTTTACTGTCCAAAGCATGTCACATGCTTCTAACTCTTCCTCCTTCTGTGAGGGTATGTCCGGGTGCTTCCTCCACTTGCCACGAGTTTTCTCATACTTGCACTAGTCACCTGCCTTATGTTTCAGTGTCTTCAATTATTTGACTAAATAGCTTAATTTATTATTATCTCCGCTACATGCATCTACATCTGCTCATAAGATCTACAATTCCATGTTTATATTAAAATAAGTTCTAGCTTTGTAATTTTATTAGTGATTCTTTTTCCTTTACAGAAAGTCTAAGCTTAATCCATGTTTGCCAAACTCCTAATTAAGGGCAGCACAAGTCTATATTATATAATTGAGAATTATAAGAATGACATGTTTAGAAACTTATTTTTAAAATAGTAGTTAATTTTTGTAATTTAGGGCTTACAGCACATGAAGATAATGACCTTGGTAATTAATATTTTGTAATGAAGCATTGTTGTGTACGTTAACATACAGGTTCAAAGCTCAGTGGAGTCCTATTCTACCTATGATCTCTATATTCTAGTGGAAATAAGTGGTCTGAGCTACAGAAAATACTACATTAAACCCTTGCCTGGTAAGAAGTCTGCATCTATTGGAAGATCAGTCAAGTACAAGCGAAAAGATGTAACTCGTGCAGATCAGCAAAGTCCAAAGTTTCTTCCTGTGCTTAACAACTGCTACCAGATCTTGTTTGACCTAAACACAAATCTAATGCACAGCATTACAGAGAGGTGAGGTTGCCTGCTTGTTTTTTATAATGTTTCAGATTCTGTAAAACCCTTCATAAAAATGAGTCCAAAGACTGTATCATGCATCTTAATTCTGAGACTTAACTAACAAAATATTCTTTACACTTATCTTTTATCTTCAGTTCACATGTTCTTCTTTCTACAAGAAACATCAACACTAGCCAAAGTGTGATTCTGTCCTGTTCCTGTCATGTTGTTGCCCTGTTTAACCATTTAATCCATCTAAGATGACATATCATAGTATTCACAGTATCACAGAATGATTTGGGTTGGAAAGGACCTTAAAGATCATCTAGTTCCAAGCCCTGCTGATAGGCAGGAACACCTCCTACTAGACCAGGTTGCTCTAAGCCCCAGCAGAAAACCAGGAGGGTTATGAAGGTGTGTTTGTATTTGAATAGGTAAGCACATGCACTAGATTATACAATGAGCCTTAAGTGATAAAGCAAGAGCTTTCTCTTGTTCATCAGCAGTGTTTTGCAAGTGCTATATCACTGTTTCTATGGTAGGAATTTACAAAACCTTTTTTAAAAGGAAACATTTAACTAAGGAAATTCTATTTAATCAGACAAATAAAATGGAAGAACAATCACAATCAAGGTGAGATTTGGAGTTTGCAGATTGTCTTTCTCAGCTGATGTGAATTGGCCAAATTCCTCAGCTTCAGTGGAGCTGTACTGCTTATTGCCTGCTCAGGATTCAAATTCTCAGCTATGTGGTGATGGAAGATTTGAAGCATTGGCTTAGTGACTACTAGACCTCTTCACCTTTGTTTTTGTTCATAATTCTGCATCCTAGAACAAGGTCCTGTTGTCCACTGTATTTAAATTCAGCTTTAAAAGTAGAGGTGCTCTTTAATTAAGAGCCCTGAAGTACTTTCTCTAAGTGTTCCCAGATCCTAACAGTTCCCAGCTTCCATGAGTAATATAACAAGATGAGGAAGAGCAAAAATCTGAATTCAAATCCAGTTTTTCTCCATGCTGTTCTTGCAGGCAGAAAGAGCTGAAATTCAACATATAGGAGAAATGGGATATTCACTTTGTTCACAAGCCTTCAGTAAAGGCCAGAATGTTTGAGTTTCAGGAAATTTGCTATGGGGTAATGGGAAACAGCAGGGTGTCAGGTCAAAACGAGAGGAAGGGTGAAAACAACAGGGATTTTCAACTATGAAGCCGTGTTAAGTTTAGCTGCAACAGTTAGAACTTCTAGATTCTGTCCCTGCACTGGAAATATCCTATAAGAGAAGCAGTAGATAAGACTTAGGTGTTTTTTGCTCCTCAGTCATTACAGTTTGTAGGTCACTGCAATAACACTAAAAGCGTTGGCAGTTTAAATTTAAATGGCAGACTAAATGACTTTTCCTGTTTTGCTGGCAAGGTTCCAAAAGAGGAGCAGAACACTTAGCTGAGGGCAATAGCATCTTACATTACCTTCTTGTGACTTTCCAAAGACGGTGATATAGGGTCATGAATAGCTAAACTGGAAGCTCCAGGGGAGAAAGGAGGAGACAAGTAGGTATATTTTGCTGTCCTGTTGCCATTATATTCATTGCCAGTATTAAATATAGAAATTTGCATCATGGTGGTTTACCTACTACAAAGTCAGTTAAATTAATCTGATTATTCATTTATATGGTACTGTGTACCTCATTTTTGTGCAGTGGGTAGCTTTTGATCCTGTAGCAGCTCTCACATCAAGACAATGAGCTAATATGAGTGTTGTTTCTGTCTTACGATGTTTCTGTTTTGCAAAAGTGTAAAATGACATAGAAACTCTATTTATGTACACACTGACAGATGTCTTGACAGGAGGCACTTCAATTCTCTGCTGTCTTCATTTCCTAAATCTTATAAAATCAGTTATTCACTTGAAGGTAACAGATTTATTGATTATTATATTTATTTTTTTTTTCTTACATTCTGGGCCTCATTTCTGTTGCAGTTCAGCTTTGCATCTGTTCTGCACAAAATGTGTTTGAATGCAATATATTTTTTTCCTCTTCTGCGGTTTCACAGGGAGACTAACCAGACTGTGCAGATGACCCAGGAGTTCCTAGAGTACCATGTGAATGGAGATGTGAAGAAAGGACCCATTTCAGATAACTACTTATTTGCTTCAAATTCTTCAGCTGTACCAGTATCAAAAGCAGTGGGATTGGAAGTGGTTTATGGATATTTGATGACCGAGATACGGCAGTATTTCTACAGGTACAACACCTTTAATGATTCTGTCTAGTGAATCTGGAACAGTGAGCTCTGTGTACCGTTTAGGATTTAGACAAAAGAACTAGCATGCATCAATACATGTAGTGCTGAGAAGCACCTCCTTTAAATAGACATATTGCTGCAGAGAGGGAGGTGAAAAGTTTTCAGAGTTCTCTTCTGTGATGTGCTTTATAGTGCAGCTTTTGTTGGGATCCTGGTTCCATACAATTAAATGAAAATTGCAGCTAACATCTTTCATGGGTGGAATTTGGACATAATGGTTTATTTTTAAAACTGTTAATACTACTCTGCTCTCCTGAGAGCCCACCTGGAGTACTGTGTCCAGTCCTGGAGCCCCCAGCACAGCAAGGACATGGAGTGAGTCCAGAGCAGGGCCATGAAGATGATGAGAGCTGGAGCACCTCTCCTGTGGAGACAGACTGAGCGAGTTGGGGCTGCTCAGCCTGGAGAAGAGAGGGCTCTGAGGAGACCTTATGGCAGCCTTCCAGTACCTGATGGGTCTAGAGGAAAGCTGGGGCGGGACTGTTTACAAGGGGTAATTGCCAGAGGGTAGATTTAGGCTAGACAGTAGGACAAAATTCTTCACTATGAGGGTGAGACGCTTGAACACGTTGCCCAGGGAAGCTGTGGATGTCTCATCCCTGGATGTGTTCAAGGGCAGGCTAGATGAGGCCCTGAGCAATCTGGTCTAGTGGGAGGTGTCCCCACCTATGCAAGGGGGTTGGAACTAGATGATCTTTAAGGTCCCTTCCAACCCAAACCATTCTCTGATTCTGTGATCTTCCTCATAAGCAAACTAGAGAAAGCAGAAATTAATCCTACACAAGGACACTCTGCCCCTGACGAACGAGCTACTTTTCTGTGTTAAAGTTATATTAGTTTACAGTGCACCCTATTTAAATTTGGTTATTTTATTGATATCTTTTTCTTCACATGGCATTGTACAGGATTGTAGTGGAGAAGGACCTTTGGAAAACTGGAATTCTTCCATCATAATTAATGTCACCCAGACTGAAAAAATACATGTATTCTGTAGAATGCAAATGTGATGCTTAGGGAGTAATAATTGTTGTGGGTTTTTTTGCTAATTTTATGAAAAACAAAGCCTTTCTAATAAAATGAAGAGTCCTCTTCACACTTGCAGTACTAAAGAAAATTGTAGGATATCACTTACTTCAGCTGAATATCTGTACATTTGAAAATACAACTGAAATGAAAAATAAATTTACATGAAATAATTCGAAAACAAGCAAGGAAGTTGTCTGTGTGTAGGTTTACATCTTGTATGATTTACAAATGTTGACATAACTGATCAAGTGCTTGACTTTATAAACTCTGTGTATCTTTCCTCTCGTTTTTACAGCAATGTTAGTGCACAGGAATACACACATGCAGTATATACGAGGATGTTTGCAGTACCCGAAGGCTACGATGGAAAGCTGCTTTGCCACAGGATAGAGCAAGAATACAGAGTTGGGCCTTTGGAAATTAATCATGAAGCAATTTTGAGAACAAGCACAAATTTGAACACCAAACAGCTACTCTACACTGACAACAATGGATATCAGATTCAGAAAAGACCATTCAAGGCATATGTGAATAACACAGTGGCTCGGGTAGGCACAGAGGTGTAATCCAAAGTCAGCTGTGCCTCATCTTCATTCTCCATTACTTTTTCTTAAGTTAATATTCTCACTGAATGATTTACTGTGTGTTTTCAGAATTATTATCCCATGGTCCAGACTGCCTATATTGAAGATGATACCACAAGGCTGATGCTGCTTGCAGAAAGAGCTCATGGTGTCTCTAGTCAAGGCAATGGACAAGTGGAGGTAATGTATACTTTTTTTTTTTTTTCTAGGAGAGCATAATTACATGGCTGCTGATAGTACAAGTAAAGCAGGATGGCTGATTACTGTTGTGACATTTACCTCCCCAATAAAGGTGATGCTTCACAGGAGACTATGGAACAACCTTCAGTGGGACCTGAATTGCAATCTTACTTTGAATGACTCCTCAGTGGTTCACCCTGTGATTTGGCTTATTTTGGGAACCAAGGCTGTCACCAATAGTTTGTATAGGACGAGTGGAATGGCATTAGAACACAGGCCAGTAGTAATGTTTGGAGCATTATCAGGTAACTCCTTCCATCTCCTGTGCTATCTTTAGCATCTCAATGGCTTATTTATTTTGCTCTGATTTATGCTGTTAAGTTTGTAAATGCAGACTTAAACCCTCCTGTGTGGCAAAGTTAGTATTCAATGAGTTAGGAGGCAGATTTAGAGTATGCTAATGACTTTGCATTAATTTCAAACACTGGAGTTGTCCAAGTGTATGAAATGTTTCTCTTGTTATGTAATTATCACTACTTTCAGAGGAAAATAAATTTCAAAGCATCTAATGAGAACAAAAAGTCCACATAGGGAATTGTTGCAAAGTAGGTGGCACACCATATATCAACTTCCTGGATGCTGAGTCCATAATGACTGTTTTTTAGTAATTCTTTTAAAAATATTTGTTTGACTTACTAACTAAAACTGAAGCCTGGTAGTGGAAGTGCAAATTCAAGCTGCATGGAAAGCTCTAATATACTTCTCCAGCAGTTAAAATCATGCTGTTTTCTGCTTTGCATCTCAGAAGGCCTTGGAGAATAAAGCACAGTATCTGCTTTGCATCTGCCTCGTCAGAAAAAGGAAATATCTCTTTCCCTTTCAATAATACCCTTGCCAAGCTTCTGTGTGTGATGGATGTTTGATGGTTGCTTTGTTTCACTTTGCATGGAGGATATAAACCAAAGTTACGGAGACAACTTCAGCAGAATTCAGTCCATGATTCACCTGTAACTGTCCCACCTAATCTTCATCTTCAGACTCTGAGCATTCCAGGGTGGAGATACAGCTCTAATCATACAGAGCAGGTCAACAACGTCCATTTGGGTAGGTGCTTTCAAAAGGCTGGCTGGATGTTACACTTAGAGAAGCTGGCTTTCTTTTCTTTGTCTTCTATGGCTACTACTTCTATTTATTCAAAGTGATAAATTCATTTACCAGGAAAGTTAATCGTATGGTATGATTGCTCTACTCAAATAGTGAAATATTTCTCCTGCATAAGTTTGTCATGCCTGTTGGTGTCATTCCTGTCAACAGTGGGAACTGGGTATTTCTTGCTGTTACTCTTACTACATTTAAAAATTATGAGAGTGCAAAGCTAAAAAAAACCCAAAAAAACAAATTTGAAAAATGTGTTTCATTTTTAAAGTAAGAAAATGTTTGCACTTTGTTTTCTCAAAGGTAAACAGAAGCAAGGTGAGGCAGACTTCAGTCGTGTCCTGCTGAGAATTAGGCACTTGTATGAAGTTGGAGAGGATCCTGTGTTGTCTCAACCTGTGATGCTAAATCTGAAGGTAAATTTAATTCTGGTTCTGGAATGAAATATTCTGTGTGCTAGAGACTTTACAAGAGATGAATATAAAAGTTCTGGTATAACTTTAACTGATCTTGTTTTTACTGGACTTTGCAACACAGAAGCCATATCTTCAGATGAAGTTGCCACAGGTGCATCATGAAGTCCTGCATAAATATCTGTAGGACTGGTTCTGTTGAGCTCTTGGTTGTGTAACACTTCCTGCAGTACCTTAACCAGTGCAGAGAATGGGAGTTTGTTTTGCTGTTTCTTTAGTTATTGCAAGTTGTACCTATAGTTAAGGAAATGGACAGCATTAAAAGAAACAAACATTTTTCTTTTTTCCTCTGTGAATTATTTCTGCAAGTTATAGAATCATAGAATGGTTTGGTTTGGAAGATCATCTAGTTGCAACCTTCCATTAGACCAGTTGCTCCAAGCCCCATCCAACCTGGCCTTAACACTTCCAAGGAGGGGGCATCCACAACTTAACTGGTCCACCTGTGCCAGTGTCTCACCACCCTCACTGTGAAGAATTTCTTGCTCATGTCAGAAATTTCTTCCTAATGTCTAAATTGTTGAAACTTTGGTCACTTCCATCATGTACTGTGCATTTTCATTTTCTTGTTTATTCACTCTTTCATATAAAGTATATTATTTTATAATACATGGCAATAATTTATTTTTTTAAGTTAAAATTTTGACTGTGATTACAGAAACACAGGGAACAAGGTGTGGAGGTCTCTTGTTTTTAAAAGTGCAGTGTGAATTTGAGCTCTTGAATGGAAAGAGTAGTAGGCTCTGAGCTTTGCTACAACAGAGAGGACACTCTCAGCACCATCTTAGTTTGAAGCCTGTTGAATCTGTATTTGCCCTTATGTTGCAAGACCTAGCAGACTTTTAGTCTATTGCTCTGCTTAAAAGATCAATGTTAGATATGAAAGTTCTACTTTGGTCTAACTGTGTACTAGATCAGCGAGTATGATGCTATTTTCAATAAACTGTGGTTTGATTCCTTGTGTTTTCTTTAATCACAGTCTTTGCTAAGGGGATTAGGATCACTAATGCTGGTAGAAGAACGATCACTCACAGGCACCTGGGACGTAAACACTTTGAAGCGGTGGAAATGGAAGACTGCACAGTATCCAAGCAAAGGTAGGTGAAATAAGGTGGTTGCTGCCTGTGTTGTTGCCAAATGTTGAAGCTTGCTGAACAGACTAATTAAAAATATAAACATATGTGCAAGATTAAAAATTTATAATTCTTCTATATGACACACCTACTGTCCGGCAGAGCCTGCAAGCAGTTTTGCCTAGAAGTGTTAAACAGCTTGAAATCTTTTCTGGAGTTCTCTTTGTCCAAGTAGAAATTACTACTTGATGAGTCTATGCTTGTGACACAGATTAATTTTGGTAGATGCTGATGAGTAGTGTTAAGCTAAGCTTAAGCCTGTGCTGTAGAAAAGCAGCTGCAGTTAAAAACCCCCACTGTAATCAGCTTAAAGGACTGTGTGGCTGTGATTCAAGTTGGGGCTGGCACTCAATTCAAATGCTGTGGGTAACCTCATTTCATTTCTCATTTGAGTGAATTGCTTGGACATTGTCCTTGTTGTCACTTACCTCCATCCATGTGTATTGTAAAAAGCTTGCAGAGGTTTTGGGCTGGGCTAGGTGGGGGTTAGAGCTCTGCTTGACCTGCAGCTAGGAACTTGTTTGCTGTTTACTTACGATGAAAAAAAGGTGCATGAGTGGGGAGTTGTTTACATTTTCTGTGTGAGTCTATGTGTGAAAACTAGATGTATTGTTGTATATTTTAATATTATGAATGGGTGCATTGTAGGCTCCACACTATTTATAGCTTTAAGGAGGAGACTCTTCTAAAACACCAGCTTTCAAGGAGTTAAAACTGTTTAGATAGAGTGATATGTACATTTGAGTATAGCTTCTACTTGAATAAATTACCGTTGTTTTTGTATTTTACAGAATTCTCCAACAGTACAGAGACCTCAAAAAACTATATAGTAACTGTTCACCCAAAGGAAATAAGAACTTTCTTTGTATACTTTCAAGGTCAATAAAGACTGAAATTGCATTTCAGGAGTGAGTACGCAATAGCTTCTAATTTGTGTTTCAAGACATGAGTGATAATCTTGAAAAACATTCTACTGTTATTAATGAAAGGAATAGTAATTTTGGAATAAACTCTAAATTTAATTGAAGTGTTGGCCTGAGTTTTGGATATTTTTGTTTATTAATTATTTACAGCTCATTTTTTTTTCTGAAACATGTTCAATTCAAAAGTACAGAAATGACCTTGGTGTTGCAGTACAAACATTGAAAATTTTCATGCTTGTGGGTGGTTTTAAAGTGATTGCTTCTATGACACTTAACTGTGAAGACTGACCAAGTCATATTAGTCCTACAGTCTTGATTTGTCTTTCTCATGAGTGATGATCTTAAGAGTCTTTTCTTAGGGTTAGAGGAGATTACTTCCAAATCACAGAATAGTGGTTTGCCAAATGATACTATGTTTCTGCATGTAAGGATGTATGCCTGTCATGTTTCAGCTACTGTCTTTTGGGCAACAACTGCAAAGTTTCTGCTTAAATGTGAACTGAAATTGAATGTACTGTTTGTATTCCTTTTCAACAAGTTCATTTAAATTGTGCCTCATGAGGTTCTGATCTGATGGGCTTTGCTTCATAGTATCTCAGTCCTGGATGTTCATTCTCCTGTTCTGGGTAAACTGGAGCTACACAGAAGGTGTATTGTCACATGGCTGGTAACTAACTCATTGCATTAGCTGAAGCAGGAACATCATTCTTATGACACTGTGAACTTTTGTGCTTCTTAGGCTCAAAGAACATGCACAGTGGTAACAGGAAATTCATTAGCATCAAGTTGAAGTTAACTATGGAAGACTGTGTTTAGGGTTAAACTGACAATAAATGCAAATTCTGAGCAAATCTCATTCAGCAGCAGCAGTAGGAAAACTTGACAGCAGATAGTTTTCCTAATAGCTGTTATGTATTTATGTCCAAAAGAAAAGTTGCTTTTTTGTTTTTCTTCTTAGCTCTGGTCAATATGGAGCTGTAAAATCTGGTTCTCTTCATGTACCATTGGGCGTCTCTACCTATGTTACTTACTCACCATGAAAAAGCACATAGCCAAGAGGAGAATCAAGTCACTTCACTGCAGTGGTAATGAAGAATTATGCTTGGTGCAACACTTCACAAAACTGTATTTCTGGCTAATGAAATGTAAAACTGAAGGAGGTAATGTATAGATTTAAAAGAGGAAAATAGGTGCCTTTTCAGTCAGTTAATAATTCCAAATCTAGAAAAAATGTAAAATGACATTTCACTGTGGTAATTGTTCCAATTTACATAGGCTGCTCAGCAGTAATTTCCTCCGTATGGAGACACTGTTCAAGAACAAAGGGACCAGTGAAAAGGACTCTCCCAGAATAGCTGTTCTGAAGTAATTATGCTGGAAGAGCTGAGCTGGTGGTCAGTTTTTCTGTGCAGACAGCCTGTGTGTACTAACTGGTTGCATCTCATGAAAACCACGCAGAAAATGCCACATTCAGTTAGTGGGTGAAGAAAGGTTGTTTCGTATTTTCTATTGGTTATTTTTCATACCTGGCTATAAATATTTAGTGATGTGCCAATCTAACCTGCTCTGCTGCAGTGAAAGGCATTTTCCTGCAACATTAAGCCTACAGGGGAAGCATATAGCACTGTGACTAGGATGCAGTAAAGCATGATGGCAGCTTTTTTTCGTTTTGTTTTGTGTATGTATTTGGGAAATGAAATGTGTTCAGCAAAGTAATTTTCCTTGCTGGTACATGTTTTCTCATTCCCTCCTTGGTTGTACCATGTAGTATAATGGGTAGGTTATACAGTGGCATGATTACAATTAATATTTTTGTGAATGAAGTGGTATTCACTAATATATGTGCTGGTAACAGCAAGTCACATTAGTAGATGATAAAAACTGAAATGTATCTTCAGTGGGCAACTGCATGGTCTGTCCCAGCTGAGCAGTAAAGCATCCTACAGCTGCTAACTTGGAGCACTGCTTTCCCAGGTGTCAGGCTAATACATTTTTAGTAAGCTGAGTTAGAACAAATCCTAAAAATCCTGTGTGCAGGATAATATGAGCAGGAATACCTCCTTTCCAGCTGGTCTATCTGTTGGGAGGTTTTCTACTTCAATTCCTGGAGACTTTCTTATTTAAAAGGAAGAACAAACAAGCAAACAACCCCCCCACCCACACACACACAACACAAACAAAAAACCAATAGAATATTTTATCTCAAGTTATTTCAGTGCAATTGACCATCAGGGAATAATTTGCGAGAGTAAAATCTTGTCTTGCACCAGAGGCATCCAAGACTGGTCTATAAAAAGCATGGCATTCATGCTAGAAGATATCATTGCATATTTTATATGTTCTTTTTCCTGAGAAATCTCAGCCCAAGCAAATGGAAGCTTGCAGGCATTCAAATCTCTGTAGAGGGACCTGTTTAGTAATCATCCTTTTTCTGTATCGAGATAGTGAAAAGAAATATTTTGGTGCTCTATCAAGACCCAGTAGAAATTGGGCCACCCTGTACTTAAATACTGCTTCAAACCATACATCAGACAGAACACACAGAAGAAGAGAGGGTGGATGTGATGATGTAAGCATAGGAGAAAGTCATGCATGCATGCAGTATGTTTGTGTTATGGTAAATAAGCTTTGTTTTTAATTTTGGTTGGATTTAAGGAAGTAACAGTGGTGGTGGAAGAGCTAGGCAGAGATAGCAGAGCATATGTGGGTGTTGGGAAAGGAGAGGATGCAACAAGCAGTCAGAGTGAAACTGATACAAGAACTCTGAAGTGCAGAATCATCTGGTAACAGCTTACTTTGTCTAAAGCTCCAGGCTGCAGACCCTTCAAGATGCTGCTGTTCTGGGTCTTGTGGCAGATCAGTTTATTGTGCCTGGAAAGCCAGGTTATATTTATTCCATCATTCTATGTAATTTTAAGTCCTGTTTGTGTCCAGGGACAAAGGGTGGCTCTCAGTAAATCACGTTTTACCACCTCCTTTTCCAGTTCCAAAGGCCACTCCTTCGAGTTCTGTGATTTTGTTTTTCTCTGTTGGCTCTAGGATCTTCTGTCTCTAGCACTGTAGTATTGCACAGCATCTGGTACAGCTTGGGTTGCAAAAACATGAACCTTCCTTGCCAAGTTACAAGGAAACTACTTCCAGCCACTGAAGATGGCAGGTGTTGCCCCTACTTGGCAAACACATGGTTGAGTTTGTTATATTCCATTTTTCTTCCCTTTGCTGTGTACTATATCAAATACTTCTAGTTATATCCACGTTGCTGAAATGTAGACACATGGCATATGGCATATTTGTTTTGTCAGTCCATTAGTCCCGAGGAGCTGTTTTCATACAGAGACAGAATGTATTATTATTTATTATTCCAGTTGGAAAGAAACTGACTGATTTTTTCTGTGCTAGCAACTAAGTGTGCTAAGAAAAGTCTTAAGAGTCAGTATCAAATTAAGGCATTGGTGGTTTTGTTAGGGTCATAGTTCAGCAAAATTAATATTGTGAATGCAGAGCATATAGAACACTACTGACTGTCTTGAGAAGTTATGAAGTCTGACACATGGAAGTTAGGTAGTGGGTAAGAAGCCCAGTGACAGCATGCTTTCCACATTGTGTTTGAGTTGGAAGAGGGGAAGATTCATGAGATCTGCTCAACAAAAGTTAAATTTCTGCTTTTACCAGAACTTTCTTTTGGCACATCTGCAACTTTCTGAAGTGTCTGTTTGATTTGAAGAAGACCTTGGAAAGGCAAATGTGAATTAAAACTTTTTTTAAATAATATGACATCTTTGACTTAGTACTACAGAACTTCAAGTATGAAAATTTCAGATTAAGTTTTCATAACAAATAACTGTAAATGCTTTTTTCCACCATCTTCTTATTCCAATGCAGCAGACTTACAAATTCATTTTGACAACCTTTAGTTTCACACAGACACTGTCAATGCTGCTGTAATTTAATAAGCTTTCCCAGCTGACAGCAACACTTGAAAAATAAAGCTGTCTCATTAATGCTTGTGTTACAAGCTCTCAAGCAAGTCTGACATATGAGTAAGGAGGAGGGAGGATGTTTAGCTCTTCTTTGTTTAAAAGTTTCAAATGTGTTTTTCAGTATGCCTTCACTGGTGTACTTTGAATGTAATGGAGAAAAGTTTTGGGAAGATGAATTTGTGCAAAGCATTCAGAAGAGAATGGCTCTAACTATCATTGCCTCTTTAAGAGCAGTGCCTCCTTGCTGAGCAGCTGTTCTGCAGTCTCCTCCAGGACACAGGTGAGTAAAAAAAATTACAGAATACAAATTCATTTATGCAGTTTCCAAGGTTAAGTTGAAGAAAGAAAAGAAAGGTTTAAAATAAATTTCTGTTGTATATGCTTTCCTGACCCATAGTAATTTCTTGTGATGCACTTAGCCTGGCACCAAAGCTGACCTAAGAAATTTTGTCACCACATTTTTCCACCCACACAACAGTGCTGTGATGATTTCATAAGGTTGTGTTGTAAAACTGTACCATGAAGTAACCTGGGCTAAAAATAAACCTTTTTCCCAATGCCTTTCTCTGTGTGCTAGTTCATTATAACTCTGACAGTTGATGCTTTGGATTAGAACCAAAGCCTCTTTCAGAGTCCATGTAAGTTGATATCAGCACTACTGAAAAAGTTTCACCTAGTCTCTAGGCAAAATGTTCTGTGTGCTGGATCTGCCAGATGCATAACTCAATGCTAGATGCACAAATGCAGGTATTTAAATACAAGAGAAGCTAGGTTTTCCCTGGAATTTACTCCTGCATACTTCATTTATTCTGTATCTTTGATCAGTAGTACCAAATAGAACATAAATGTAAATACTAACAGAATTATTTCATGTAGTTATAATATAACCTTAAGTATAAATTACTTGCTTTAATATATCCATTCATTCACTTGAATTTCAAAGTACTTCTTTTGTCTTCACTAGCTTTTAGATGATACCATCTTTTAGATAACTAAGTCAGCTGGGTACAATCAGAAATGGGGATAGCCCACAGCACTTTGTAACATTTATCTTTGCTATTGTCTTGTTCTTAATTTTTCTTGGCTATCTAAATGACGCTGAAAACTACTTCTGTAAGGCTGAG